TCTATGACTTCGTAGAATGATGAAGTTTTCAGAGCTTTTTGAAACTTTTATCTTGGCTCTGCAATAGTGGAAAACAGGAAAATTCAACTTGAAAAATGAAAATTCAAGAATAAAATTCTTTGATAGGAGATTCCCATTACCTTTGTCCAACTACTTCCACACATAAGAAAGAAGCCTTAAATTGCCTATKAACAAAAGGTGTAACTTTTTGTACTATCTCTAATGAAAAAAAGAAATTATTTCATAATAGTGTTCTTTTAAATGCATTAAGAAATTTGTATGGTGCCAATCAGCCTAATAGGTGTGTAATAGATGTGATTTAGATACATCTGATGAGGCTAAACTGAAAAAGCCAAAAAAGAGTGTGCAGCCTGGATAAGTCAWTAGACACTGTGTTGTCATCTCTTCTCTCAGTGTCTGATGTCCATTTCCTTCAGGACTGCTGATCGAGCTTACCATGTGGTCAGTTGGTCATGGAACTGATCTATGCATTTAAATGATCCTTTTAACACTCTGTTCTTTCCTTCTTGGCTTTTCTGTGGAGGACTATGAGGAGGAATGATGGGCTGCTTATGTCACAATGAAGAAAGTTGTGCAATGAAGTTCTCAGGTAACCTGTGTCTCTAACAGGAATAACCTATCTTGCAACTTAAATTTCCACAGAAATGTGGTTTCTTTTGAACAGCATGAGTAATCTCAGTCTATAGCTAAACACAGTTCATTTACCAGGTTAAGACAAAGCTCTCATGGTTCTGTTGTTTTGTTTTTGTTTTTTTTTTTCCTCAACGGTCTTATGCTTGAAATGAGTTTTCCATTTTATTTAATCTAGAAAAATGAAGATGTTTACATAACTTTAATTTTTCCCATTCTGTAGGCTGAGAGAGCACTGAAAATAAACTGTATCCAGGATTTTGTATATGTTACACCAAAGTAAAGTGTACTGCCAGTCCTGCAACTCTGTATCCACTGGCCAGCAGTGCTCACTCCCAGAGCAGGGACCTTGAACTATGGAAATACAGTRCACCTCAGGCTGTGCTGGCGCTGACTGTGTGAGCTGAGTTTGTGGGAGCAATAAGGCCCAGTGATTTGGTGCTAAGGCATTTAAACATCATTCTTTCTCTGTTTTTCTGGTCCGTGGTGCAGCTTTAGTCTGGCAACTCTAAGTAAGAGTGGTTTTCTTACTGTTTTCAGGCTGTCAACCTGAGAGCACAGGCTGAGACCTGGGCTGGTTTCACGTTCTGTATCTTCAGGAGCTGCTTTCTCTTCCTAAGCCCATGCCTTCAGCTGATCGAAACAATGGTCTGTTTCTAGCTAAATCTACTCCSTGCTGGATGAGGACATTGCAAACTTCCAAATGCGGGAAATTTTCCAAAGCACAGATTTTAAATGAGGTAAAAAGCTTGGAGGCATTTTCTATAATTGATAATGACTGTGACAAACCAGCTGTTTTGATTAACTCTTCCCTTGCCTTGAAGGTTTAACCTCTTTCATTTACCCAAACAGTAAACCAAAAGAGTGAAAATAACACCTCAGTTCTCTGCTAAGGTTATGTTATTGTGCCTCTGGAAATACCCAGCTGGACAGAGTCAGTACTTTCCAAATCTGACTCTTGCTGGCTKTATTTTCAGCTCACACAGATGTTCAACAGAGGAAAATTCCCCCTTTTTTCCCTTTCAATGCTTGAATGTGCCGCTGTTTTTAAAGAATAATAAATCACTGGTATGACTGTTTCATGTGTTTCAGGAATTTGATCCTCTGTGTCAAAGAAGCAACTGAGTAGTCACTTGGGAAATTAAAAGTCCTAAAAGCAGAAAAAAACTTTACTTATATAGTCCCCGATTTACCTMAAGGAGAAAAGGGAGACAGGATATGATCGTTTGAAACACCGGGGAAGATCGTCCTCCTAATCAACCCATTTTCCTGCAGCTCAGGGTGAAGTGAAATTTTAGCTTGGCAATGCTCAAGCTGCATACATCAATATCCAGGACATAAAAAAAATAATAAATCATCCCCTTCCTCACAGGAAGATGATAACAAGCGTTTTTCTCCCAAGGAAGCATGCCACAGCAGGATCAATTTGTTTGCAAAGTATATGGATTGTTTCTGACGGTGTGAACTTTGTATAAACGGGRAAATGGCTTCGTGTTACATCGGTATTGATGTTTTTGAAGCATCTCTCTCATCGGATGATTTGTAAGCGTCTCTTTCGACTCTTCCTGACTCCGAGACGAGCTGCTAGATTCATCTTTATTCTGTCGCAGATGTTTTCTGCCGCCTGTTGCGAGCAAGCTGCCTCCTGCGAACGGCGGAGAGCTCCGAGAGGCAGCGCGCCCGGGGCGGGCTGGGGGCGCCGGAGCCGCCCTCGGGACCGCGCTCCGAAGGCGAACAAAGGGGCCGCCAAACTCATCACCAACAGGTGCTGCGCAAGAAACAAACTTTCTCTGAGATACTACTCGGAGTTGCCAAGGGAGAAGAGATCCCTYGGCCGCTCCGGGGAAGAYGCAAACAYCAAAAAAAACCCCAAACCCGGAGAGGGCCGAAGGGGAAAGGGACAAAGCGGCGGGAGCCCGCAAAACGTGGCGCGCTTCGGTCACGGCAGGGAGCGCGGCCGCGCACCCGCACCTCCCCCGGCACGGCACGGCACAGCACGGCACCGCCCGGCCCGGGCCGCCCCACCCCACCTGCGGCCGGGCCCTGCCCGCGACCCGCCCCGGGGCCGGTGCGCGGGGGGAGCGGCCCTTTAACCCCTTCCCCGCCGGCGGCTCCGGAAGCGGCGGCGGCCCCGTGGGG